GTCTTTTAGCGACAGTGGAAAGACATGAGCAAGTAGGCGGCGGCGCAGACCGCTGAAGGCGGTAACGAGAGGGTGAAAATAAGATGACTTCATGCCTTGAGTTCGCTCTATTCTCTCTGTGTCGCGTCAAGATTGCATATAGACGTTCCATGTGGTGCCGAGGCAATTTTGGGCGACTTCTTGCGGCTTTGCGGGGGCTGCTGAAACATCAGTCGCGAAAGAGAATAAAAAGAGCTATGCCTCCTTTTGTCCTTCGCATCTTTTCATTGTGTCTATGAGTAACATGAAATCAACAAGCTGATGTAGTAAACAAGTCGCTGGTTTGGCTAAGCCTGAGGTCACGGTTCGATCCTATCTTGTTAGCAGGGCATTTTAACGTTACCTGCCATGTTAGTGGTTGCTGACCCTCACTGCCACCTGCTTCGGCCTTTCTTCACTTCAATAAGTGAGGATCTTTCGCTGTGCTTTTTATAATACTTGGTAAATTGCAGTCTGTGCAAGGGTGCAGCCTGTATGGTGGTTTCAGTTTTTCGGCATGGAAGTGTTGGACAAGCTTGGACTTGGTGCTTCGTCTTGTGTCATGGTGTGTGCACTCCGGCTCCTGCCACTTTGGCCAGTGCCCTCTCAAGCAGGTGCAGCGAACCAAGGGGCCCAAAGCAGTGGTGCCATGTCATCGTTGACTTGTATCAATCTCCTCGCAGCACCCCCGCCGAAAGCACAGACCTGGAAGTTTGGATTACGGATAAGGGAGCCGACTTGCCTGCTTTGCGGCCCCAATCAGGGAGCCGATGCGCCAGTGAGCCGGCCGTCCCGTTTCGGGGCCCAGCTCTTTCCACAGATTTCGGGCCAGTTTTTCCTGGTGTAAAAACATGGAGATTGCGGTCTTTCCCGGTCGTCGCTACAATTTGGCTACAGCTGTTGAGCAGACGCCTGTACAGCTGACGGGCACGGCTTGCCCTGCACGAACTAAGCATGCAGGCGTTCCTGCAGAGGTCTCGTTTGTGAATGTGTCGACGTTCGCTCCCTCAGTAGGCTCCAACTAACAGTTCTGCGAAGGCAGGGCTGCAGCTTGATTTGTCGATGAGGCATCCTACAAGAGGTGTCGCGTCACTGTGTGGCCTGCCCGCTGTAAAGGTTCACAGTGGCGCACAGTTGTTTACGCGACGGATTGCTGGCATTTTCTTCGTACTCTATCTCAGGCTTTGGCCTTCTGACCCGGCGTACTTCAGTTCTCAGTGAGGTTCAACCTTGTTATTTTCTTTGCACCCAGATGGCTCCTCATATGGGAGCTCAGAGTGCTGGAGTGTGCTCCAGCCCTTTTCTTAGCAGTTTTGGGCTTGATTACCTGCTTGCACTGCTTGACTGCTTTCAGGGCTAGGCTCAGCTGCTTTTTTGCGTGGCTCAAGATCGGGCAAAGTTGCCTGTCTCGCATGTCGCGCAGGAAACTTCAAAGCAGTGTTTTCAGTGCTTGCGCGCCCACAAGTGAATGCTGACAAACGCATCCCTTCGTCAGTCTTAGGTTGTAGCGCAACCACGGCATCATGTTTCCCACACAGACTTTCACGAGGCAATCGTCAATGCAGAGATGCACACGACGACGTTTGCCGGAGCAGTGTTAGATGACAGCCCTCGTGGCTTTAGTTGTCCCGGTCTCAACGAGCTGGAATGTTGGGGCGTCACCGGCGAGCAAGCTGCCTGACGGCGGTACTCGTACTGCTGTGAGTCGAAATCTGACATAGCCTAACTAGCGGCTCCACTGCACCATTTTGAAGCAAGGTTTTGACGTCGATCTCGCGATCCGTCGCGAAGAACATCACGCCAGAGCGAGAACTCGACCGTGATTGCAGCATTTTGGTTGGCATTGCTTCTTGGCTTTCGTAAGAGGCACTCTTGCCCAGTTTAACTCAGATCCTGACGTCTTTAGCAAAGTCCGGGCATGGCAGGCTATTGTCTTCCGCTTGGCTTACTTCTGCGTGGCGGCTCTCAGATGCCGAACAGGAAAGGCAGTGAAGAAGCCGAAGAACGGCAGCACCTCCACGTCGAAGTTAGCAGCAAAACGGTAGTGGATTTTTCGGTCCTCCAAGAGGACATCTGTCCACAAAGTCGCTGCTTCTCTCCTGGGATGTTCGATTTACTGTACCCTGCAGAACCACCCCTGCCAAGCAGCGGTGAAGCCCACCTCGCAGGTGAGTGCCGAGCGCTCGGCACTTCTTCCCGCCAATGCGGCGGCTTACTTTAGATCGGTGTTTTCGTAAATTGCAACCCACAACGCGAGCTTTCTGGTTGCAGGCACACACATGTAAAATGTAATGAGCGTGGGCTGGACCTGCTCCTTTGCCTATACACCTTTGTCTACGGTTCCGAAACATTGCGACAAATTCTGCCGCGTGCAGGTGGCAGGCGTCGGAGCACACGGCACCAGTGAGCTTTGGGCAGATCACGGAGATGTGCTATGGTGGCGTGTCTTCCATAGGGAACTACGACATGAAGCGTGATTCATTTGACAAGAGCTGCTGCATGCCAGGACACCTTACATTGATCGTTTCACTGTGCCGTCCGCATCCGTCGAACTGGAGCGCGAAAGATCGTTTACACAAAGCCAATTATGGCGACTTGAAAGCTTGTCCATGAGCTGTTCATCATTCCGGCACAATCTCTGACGCATGGTGAAACAGCATCGATGCCCAGGAAGGAGTCGTTCAATGAACTCGAGATTCAAGGCCAGAGTCTGCCAGAGTCTGCCACATCTGATAGGAGCATCTAGCGACTTGTGGCCTCTCAGCCTGAGCTTCGGATGCGATTTGCAGTTGGCTGTTCTTGGCCAGGCTTCAGTCTCGGTGGTGCCGCCCTCATCGCTCCCATCTCAGAGTCCAGACAGGATTTCCATTCCCTGAAGTTCTGCAGCGAGTCTTTTCCTTGCGGTGTTGTGGCTGCCGGAAAAGGTTTTGGTTTGAGACGGACAGCATAACGAGCTTTGAGTGTTGCTCAGGTCGACACGATGACGGATAACACCAACCGAACCCGTGAGGGCCTCGAAGCTTTTTAGGGGAGCCATCGCCAGAATCTTCAAGGGGTTTTGCCATTGCTAAAGCGCTCCGAGGCAGCGAGGTCACGCAATGCTTCAAGGAGGCGAACGGCCAGGCTTCGGCTTTCGAGTTGGGCACATCACGAAAGCTTGGGCTTGGAGCTGGTAGCCGATGGAGGGAACGTCGATAGCTTTCCAAAGCTTCGCATGCTGCAGCTTTGACAAGCAAGCCGGTTTGGCATGTGCAAACCATACATGACTTGTCATTGACTGCATCGACTGGCCTTCTTACTTCCTGGTCTTCGTTCTGAGGATTTTAGCCAAGCAAACGCACCGGAGCCGACATATTTTTGTCGAGAGCGCTGTTCCACGAAGAATGCGGCGATGTCATCTTGTCCGGGCAACGCCCAGGCACGCCCCGACAGCACAGCTGACATTCCAGGGCACGATCCAAGTTGATCGTGGAAGATTCGCTGCTAGATATAAGTCGTGCAACAAGATATGGCAAGGTTGCTCTGCCGCTGTGTTGCTTCTGCAGCCGCCACGCCGATCGAGTCGCTCGGCTAGCGTTAATGGACTGGTGGAGCTTTCTCAGCAAGCGCCGTCATCCATCACCCAAATTTCTGCGAGAACGTGCAAGTGTAAAGGGAGTTCACAACCAAGTCGGAGCGGAACCTTGAGATATCTTGAGACATGTTAAGCCGCTGCGGCAATTCCGCAGATGCTGAGGATTCCAGTGCCAAGTCTCCGGCCCGCGATTGTGCTGCGGCAGCATATTGTTGTCAACGGCTTCGCCGGCCTTCCCTACTCCCGAAATTGAAAATGTTGCCTTTGCGGCCATCCTAAACATTGAGATGGGAGGGACATGGAGAGGTCAAGTCCCCGCAAGCGGTGGGTCCCATATGTCGCCCTCCGATGCCCTCCAAACCCACAAAGCCACGGACACTATGGCTGCTAAGCAAAACTAGCGACTGAATCTAGATGCCTCTATGCGCTCCAGCCAGCTCCAAACGCTGAAACCTACGAGGGTTTGACATCGCTCCTACTGTAGTAACTTCCGTTTGACAAACCCCCAACGTGTTAACGTGTAGAAGGCTGGCACAGAAGTCTGCATGAGCCGCGGTGTGCTCGACGAGAAGCCTTTGGCATCTTTGGCTGTCCGAGATTGCCCAAGGCTGCAATACCACGTGATGCTGGGGCAACCTATTTCGGTACAAGCCTGCCGGCGGACAGAGGCCGGTGCTTGAAAGCCTGGTGACAGTGCGCATTCCTCTCGGGGCTTATGTTCTTGCCGGACCTGAACTGAGATTACGGGCATTAGGAAAAGGTGGTTGAAGCGCGACTTGTCTGTCGTCTTTTCTTCATGCTGCCGGAAAGGGAATGGCGAATCGTGAAGCAGTGAAACTACAGCTCAATCTCCCGCTCTCTTGCAGGCGCGGTCTTGCCCGGGCACGAGGGCCAGTACTACCAGAGAGCCCTCCCTGTGGCACAGGCGCACTCCTTGCACTTGCCTCGGGTGAGTCTGAGTAGTCAGCAACCTTCAGGCTAACTGGATGCTTGCGTGTGTGCTAACGAATTCCATGACCGTGTCTCCGTCGGGCAATCATATCATGTACCCAAACGCGATTGCTTCGAAGCCACAGCCTATCTGCGGAAAGAAAACTCTCCAGCAGGTGCCCTTTGCTTCTGAAGAGGGCCGGAGAATGTTTCGCGAAGCGCTGCTGGCGCCTCTGCCCAATTGTTTTTAGAGCATTTTAGAGCAACTCGTAAAGCATTCATATCGATTTGCTTTCGGCTGCCAACGTTTCTTACCGGCAATAGGCATTGTTTGGGACCACAGCAGGAAGACTGCAGAGCAGGCTGCAGGAAGGCTTCTGAGGTGGACGGGAGACATCCTGTAGATGCCAGGTTCGAACAGAATCTGTTGCACGTTCGGGAGAATTCTGCATCACTTGAAAGATGTGATAAGCGACAAGGCTGTTGTCACAGTGATGAAATACAGTACTCTTACTAGGCTGGAACGATGGAGAGCTACTTCTTCCTGGCTGAGCAGTTCCGGACGCAAGATGAGCCGACTTTTTGCCCCTCCTTCCAAATCATGCATCGGGTGTCATGTGCGGCTAATTTCCCGGTTGCTGCATTCTCGAAGACATAAATACGGGAAGAGGGGCAACCACAGCCGAACGTGCACCAAGTTGCCTGCAGCAGACCCAGGTGGGTTGACCACTCTGGCAATGGTTCTCAACTCCCTGCACATCGACCCCATGCGAACCTGGAAGGGAGCCTGGCGTTGGTTCAACGAGCAAAATCTTGCGCCTTGGCATGGGGTCGCTGGCTTCCGGGGCCGAGGCCGCGCACACCTAGCTCGTATCCATCCTTTGCAGTCCTTTGCCACCTTTTTCGGATGATCGGAGAAGTTACACAGCAATGGCGTGTTGCAGTTGCACCTTCTTGGTCTCGGGGTTTTCAATATTTTTCAGTTGAGTGCTCACGCAATTGGCCTTCAGAGAAGTGCAGCGTGCTTCGGCTGAGGCATGCTGTACAGGACCCGACCCCTGGCTGCCAGCACATCGCTTCGGAAGTGTCTTAATGTGATTTCTTTTCTGCATTCCTGAATTTTCCTGAGCGGCATAAGAGCGGTGTAATGATAGCTGAGTGTGCTTGCACGGCTAAGGAGCGGGTCCGAGCTGAAGGACTGTCATTTGCCACTCGGATGGAAGTGCGCCGGAGAACGGTAGGGCCGGTAGGGCAGCGTAGCTGAACCTTGGCGCACCTCCTCGTAGTGTACACAGACAAGGACATGTTCCGATCTCTCGCTGCCTGCAATGGTGCGGAGGCCGTAGAGATGCGTGATCCGTGTGCGTCTGGCCGGGGCCCGGAGTCCTCCCGCAAAGGGTTTTGTCTTCTCGGCAGGTCCAGGCCTGCCGTGCGCCCCACGCAGCGGGCGAGGCACGTGACGGTCACGAGACGCTTCGGAGTGCTTTGGGCAAATGCTTGCAGAAATGCTCGCAGGCTGCAGCCTTTGCTGCGGCATTCCGCGAAGCTGCTCGCAGCATCAGTCAGAGCTCCGAGCGCCAATGCAGCCCATCTCAAGACATTGTGGTCTTATATGCTGCAGTCCTCCTGCCTTCCTCGTCGGCCGGATTGAGGTCTTCGGGTTTTCTGGATCTTCCATCTGCTGACCCAAGGTCTCGTGGTTTGCTATTCCCGTGAGTTTCTGGGCCAGAGTGGTGCGGGCCACTTCTCTCCGGTGGGTGGCCGGGGCCTCAAAAGTCAAAAAGTGAACACTTCCGACAGTTTCTAAGCATCGATGGTTTCAGCTTGACTGGACTTCGGTGTTCAGCTGTCCGACTTGGCCAGGGCTTGAAGCTTTCTGGTCCATCATGCTGGACAGTAGTTCCGCCAGGATACCATGAAGAAAGCGAGTCGGTGCTGGTGATGGATGTTGCCAGATTCAAGCCACTGGGCGCCACTCCTGCTTGCCGAGTCTGTAGATGATGTCGGCGCATGTTTGCCGCCGATCTCCGTGTCGAGTAGTTTTCATCTTCACCCATGTGAGGTATCCGCCCCACTGGGTGCCATTGGAGGATTTGGCAAGAAGTATGCTGCAGGTGTGCGACTGTGCAACAGCTGCCGCAGGGCAAAGCGACGTCTGCTGCTCTGTCAGATCGACCACGACACGAACAAGCCACGCGGCTTTCTTCAGCTGCGACTGCCACAGTCACCTGGCCGCGGGGATATTTCATGGGTTACCGTGTGTTTTCCTGAGCTCCTTTTGGCAAGCTCTGGGCATGTCGGACGACTTTGCGGCGCAGGCGAGTTCGGGCTGCTGGTGGTGCCGCTCCGCCGCTGCGTGCTCCTTTTGCAGCTTTGACCAGCATTGGCATGACAGGTCCCGCGTGCGAACTTAGCCTTGGCCCTGCCTCTGCATCTCAGGTGCCCCCAGCAGCTGGCCGACTTCTTTCCGAGGACACAAGAGCAAGATTTTTGGTCTCAGACCTGGGCAGTATGCAGCATCCAATGCCCAGGGCTTCGCCAGCAAACTGGCAGACTTGGACCTGGAGGCAGGGCCTCGTCGTGACGACGAGACGTGGGGTATTCAACACGTCACCGAAGTTTGAACCTTATCCCCTTCCTGCGAGGCCTCAGGGTGCCCGCTGCCAGCAGCGGATAATGCCCACGTAGCCTGGGCCTTCAGAGCTTACCGTACAAATTACAAATCCTTTAGTTGAGTGCTTTCGCAACGCAACCGTCGTCTTGCGTGCAGTCTTCCTGAGCCCATCTGCACGTGAGTGCCAGTTCGATTTGCGTTCTTTGACAATCAACACAAGAGATAGGCACACGACCATAGGCAGGTGCATGTAGCCGCAAGTAGGTCCTCCGTGCGTGTGCATACTGCTGGCAGGCATGCAGGCAGGCAGGTAGGCAGGTAGGTAGGTGGTAGGTGGTAGCAGGTAGTCAGGTAGTCAGGCAGCAAGGTAGCCAGGTAGCTAGGGAGCTAGGGAGCTAGGTAGCTCGGTAGCTAGGCAGCTAGGTAGCTAGGTAGCCAGGTGGCTGGGTAGCTAGGTGGCTAGGTAGTGAGGTAGCTCGGTAGCTCGGTAGCTCGGTAGCTAGGTAAGTAGGTAGGTAAGTAGTTTATGCATGTTCATAATGATAATATACCAGTAAGCAACGATAGCAATAATAAAACCAAGAATATTCATGAGTCAGCTATTGATGCTGCTAATAGAAGCAACAAACTTATGATACGTCACGACCTTGAGACTCCGAATCCCTGAGACCGTTACACCCTGTTTTCGAGTCCCCCTCGAGAAAAAGCGTGTATGGAAGCGCTTCTCGAAGTCGTATGGAATCCCTATAGCATCCTCATAGCACGAATATAGAATAAGCCATACAGAGCTCCTCTAATGTCATTGTAGGATCTTCGGAGAGAGTTCAGCGGGTCCCGAGAGCTCTTGCAGAACTCTTACAGACTGAATTACAGACGCCCTGAACGAATACTCAGAAAACGTTTCTAGACTCGCCAACCCCCGGTTGAGACGCTGACACCTCGAAAGCTTCATTTCATCTGCAGGAAACTTCAAACCACCGGCTCGGGGCGAGGCGCCTAACTGCCAACCCCGCTGCTTTCGAGTAAAGGAGAGTTTACGGCTCTTTTCAAAGCTTACGCATGTAAAGGCTGCCTGCTCGAAAGTAAACTGTGGCTTCGAATTTTGGGGCCGACGGGAGATGCTGTCTATGTCTTGAGCTCAAGACGCTGCTCGGAGGGATGAGTTGGGGACCCTGTGGGTCCTATGGAACAATGCAGGAGCATTCATTGTTGCTAGAGTTGTAAGATTATGGGCATGATTATTAGTGTCATGTTCGGTAATCTTGCTAAAAATGTTGTAATATTTAGTATAAGTATTATTTACTATCTAATATCTGTTCATTATCTAGTACTAGT